CTTCCACCTGTGCTTCTGACTGCTGTTTTGAGAATGCATCAAAGAGCATTTTAGGGGACCCAGCCTTCTTAAGGTGGGTGAGATGCACAAAAAGGTATTGACTGTGGACTCTGCACTCCTTTTTCAATGGTCACATGGGGAAAGTTGGAGATTCCTAGAAGGGCATGACTGGGAAGACTGGAATGGAGAAGAATCCAGATGGACCGGTACGACTGACACGAGCAGTCAGAGTTTGCTGGGTGCGTCTGCAATGTGGTGGTTCACACTTCCGGGAAAAACGTATCAGGTGGCATTGAGTGTGAATGTCCCATGTTGACGGCCTTGCGGTTTTGCAGCTGGTGTGGCTGTGATGGGAGTAACCTGGGGAACCATCTGTGGTGAAGGAAGCTTCCAGGATGAAGAAAGAGGCCTGCAGGACAGAGCAGCTGCAAAGTACAGCCAGGCCAGAAAGGCTGCAGCGAAGTCAACTGCAAAGATAAAGGCTCATACATGGAAGGAATTTGAAGAAGCCATAGAGAGAGACTATTGGGTGGCCGCAATGATGTTTTGGAAAACAACTGGACGTCTCAGGTCCACTTTGAGGAGTTCTTTACTCAGGTGGATATACCCTTTCACCAGGGGGTAATGCTGATGGAATGCGCAGCATTCAATTGTCATCGACGTCTCTCTATAATTTACACAATATAAAAGGCCATGTTAATGCCATAATAAAAACTTATAGTAAAATGCATGCCTCTACTTTCTTCTATTTGACTAAAAAGAATTCAGGTGTTTATGATCTATAAATTTTGACATATTTTTCCAAAACACTCCGCGTTCTTTTGCATACAGTAATGGTCCTGGCTGCTATATTCTGTAGTGTCTGCGTCTGGTACCAAGCCACCTAATCAACTCTTGCCTAATAAAGGTACTCGGAGTAATGTCACATTTTTTTCCTTTTTCCCGCAGAAGTGATGAGTCGTTATGTACAAAGCTTTCTTCACATTAAGTCTTAATTGAGAATACTGTGTTCTGCATTCTGCAGTTAACATCATTCAGAGTCAATTACAGTTTTTCTTGATTGCTTTGGAGCATTTTTTCAAATCACAATTACAGTAACATTTGCAAAATATCAAGTGTAGTCTCCACACAATAATGTCACTTCTGCACTGCAGAACATCATTTCTCATTGCTTCACACAAATTTCCAATTGTTTTAGTACATATATGCAAATGATTTGTACAATTGTCTTTATTTGGTACAATTTTCAGTTGCTTTAGTTTAGTTGGTCAAAATTGATTATGTAGTTTCCCACTGTAATAATTTTACACCCAGAAATATATTTGTATGTGGTCATTGTGTTAGCCACTCCATGCAAAACAATTAACCAAGCTTTCAAAGTGATGTAAAAATATATTCCATGATTTGCAGTGATACGGCATTGTTGTGTTTTGGTTGCCACATTACATTTTGTTGTTCATATATTGCCATGTTGCTGTTTTTGTGTTATACAGAGCTGTGTGACTTTCTTGTCTGCTATTGTACTGTGTCTTGAGATCCAGAGTTGTTACATGTGCATGTGAGTGCTTTCTCTTGCCAGTAAAATTTACATACTGTAATGTAGAGCCTTGCAATGTTGAAACTGGTATCTTTGACATGAATAAGTATCAGTTTGCTACAGAAATACTATCAGTCAGTGACAATGAGAAAGTGGGAACCGACTCTCATGGTTAAAACGATGCAGATTGTACTTTTCACTTTGGTGCTGCTCACTAATTCATTGGTGGAATTATTTGCTTTTGAGACACAAGTTAATTGTTTTGAGTAAGTTACAGGCTTTTGCAGCTAAACCATAGTGTTGCGCTACATGCGTGAACTGTTTTGAGAAATGCTCCTATAGCTGTGTGAATACTAAACATGTTTCAAGAAATATGCTAAAGCAATTGAGAAAAACTGTGAAATGGGGGGGGGGTAAATTGATTTTAGGGGGGCCCTCCCTTTTGCTCTGCTACTGTGTCACATTTCTCTGCCCCCCTGAAAAAGCCTCAGCCTGGGTCCCTGAGAGAAAATTCCACCCCAATGGTCTAGACTAGGATTCAGCAAAAACCATTTGGATTTCAGCCTGGCTATGGATCAATGGAGCAGTTCTTTCGGAAAAATGATGACAATGATGTTTCTTATTTTTCCCCTTCTTCGAGATACCTTTGAAGTGCCCAAGGTAATGGAGAATGTGTGCGCGCAAAGTCCTCGACCTAGCAGCTGATATGATAACAACAAAATGCACAAAACCAGACAGCAATTACTCTATGGTAGTGTTTCCCGACCTGGACCTCTGGGGCCTGCAGACGGTTCATGTTTTTGCTGCCTTCCAGCTCCTTAGGGAGCAAAAATGTGGATCCTCACTGGATCCCCGAGGGCCGGGTTGGGAAAAACACTGCTCTATGGTAACCCCGCCCACCAAAAAAAAAAGTGGAAAATTGAGTGGAAAAGGTCTATATGTCTACGTTTCAAGTTAACAGCAATTACTCAGCAGAAAGAAGATCTTTTTAAACCGATACAGGTGACGCACTTTTAGGGAAAATGAATAAATCAAAGAGTAACAGGAGCTGTACAAGACCACAGTTGATTCTCTTGTGACAGCTCTGGCGGGGGAAATGATGCCGTCGTGTTATGAGTACCTGTGCTACTGAGAACTTCAGGTGAGGTTTTCTGACCTCTATCGCTGTTCTCATGTGGGGTGCCCATGATTGTAAACCGTTAAGACAATTCCCTCAACATAGTATATTTCATTGTTGACAAAATTTGCCTGCAGAAATTCATACCTATCATCTTCGCAAATATAGCTAACATTGAGCACGCAGGAGCTTGATTTTAAAAGATATCAAATTCTGCACTTTAAAGTATGTCTACAAAAATTGTGAGTTGATATCTAAATAGTTTAAGATATAGTTACCATATTGGCAACTTACATTGCAGTAAATTAACTTGCTGCATGCAGTGAACACCACAGCCACAGCATGTGACTCAGTGGGCTAAGCCTCTTTGCCTGTGATTGCTGGTTTGAGCCCAGCTTCAGCAGAATGGTCATGTCTGTGGGCCCTTCAGCAAGGCCCTTAACCCCCAGCTCTATGGATGTGGATACATGCAGCTGCTCTTTGCAGACAGTTTAGGAGAAACAAAAATTCCCCATAGGGATCAATAAAGTATTGTCATTTAATTTAATCAAAAATTGGCTAGCAAAACTGATACCACTGTTGGGCCCTTGACAACTGTATGTCTCATGGAGAGCAAGATGGTGTAAATGAGAATAAAATTTCTCCATGAGGGGAATAAAGTACACTATTCTATTCAGTAGTTTTCTCTGTGCTCTAATAGGTCAAAATGTCAGCAGAATTAGATGATTTTACTGAACTAGGGATTAAATATTTATGGATTATGATATGCCTAAGTACATCATATAGTAAAAACTCTGTCCTCAGCTGCTTCTTCCTCTGGTCACGCGTCATATTCATATGAAGGTTGTGCAGCTGCCACCAGCTGGGAAGCAACACCTACAAATCAGGAGAATCCCAGCACTTAACTCCCAAACCAACAGCTCAGCGTAAATAAGCTGAAGGTCAGCCCCAAAAACAGCATCAGATAAAAATGAAGCTAAGAACTCTGGACACTGCGAGTCATACAGGAAATCAGAGGAGCACATTTGACACCCAAAGAAGAAATCACAGCAAAGCAGATCCTGGTCCCCCCTGGCTGTCCAGCACACCCAGGCTGTATGGGCAGGGGGCACAATGACGTAACTTTTGGTCGAGCATTGGGGTGGTTGAGGTCTCCACCCATTTAAGGGGGTGCAGGGGGTTGTATTGGCAGGTTTTGATTATTGGGAGGGTTATACCTCCCCCCCCCCCAATATAATTTACACCCATGTGTGGATACGTTGTGAAAGGAACAGAACTGCATTGTGTATTGTGTAGAAAATGTCTGAGCCACAAGCATTAGATTTACTGTAAGAAGGAGAACACTTTAGTGCTACGTAAATGAATCACCAGTTAATTTAATGTTGCAAAGAAAAAAAGTCTATGTATCGTGTACAGCCCATGTGCAACCCATGTGTCTTATACAGTCCGTTACATTTTATAATACATTCACATGTTGAACAAAATGACTATGTTATAGCACAGGTACAATTTTGTTCCTCAATGTACAAACAACTTAATATACCCCCAATTGTACAAAAATACTCCTCAGAGTCCTTTACTGTACCTTAAATTAGACTAAAAGGAACATTTACCTACAGGTAGGGAATAACCGGCAGACCGCTGAGGGTACAGGCCCAGTGACAAGTAATTGTACCCGCAAAGGTATGAAGTGGCACTTTTTTCTGACAGTGTATGTTGGCTATAAACGAGCAAAGTTCTGACGCGTTCGGTTTCCTGTTCTTGCAGACAGGTGACACTGACATTAAAAAGTAACACCGTCTACCTCCACAACAGCTGTAGAGCCACTACGGCCTGCAAAAGAAGTACATGGACAGCATCCAAAAGGTAAAGTTATACTAATGTGCCGGCATAGCCCTGTTTACTTTGCGTGTGGCCAGTTAAAGTTAACATTCTAATCAGACTTTTATCTGGCAACCATATCGGATCATGTTGGCAGGGATCACATAGACATTAGGTTATCTCAAATAGATTATTTACCATGTTTAATTAATGGTAATAAGACGTAAAAATGGAGAAGGACGCAGTGGCGGCTCCAGGGGATCCAAAGAAAATGAAGACTATATTTTCTTAAAAAACAATAATTATGGCTATAATGTGTTGCTCTTCATGTGTTTATCCAAAGTTATGGTAAGATATATTCCCAGAATTTCTTCAAATCTTTAGAAACAAAAAACAATTCAGACTGTTGCGGTCCCCTGATTTTATTTTTTGTAAACATTCTGCCCTCTTTCCTGAATATGCATACAGTATAATGGTAAAGACTGGGCTGTATTCTGCAGTTTCCCAGTCTGATATTAAACAGCTTGATAAATTCCTCATCTAAGGTAAGAGTAATATCGAGTTATTTTCCTGTTTCCACCGATGTTATGAATGACCATGTGCAAAGCTTACTGCACATCAAGGCTTACTTCAATTACTATGTTTAAAATCCTGAAGTACTTTCAGAATTACACGTTTCTAGGCTATTGCTAGCAGTGGAACACCACAGACACAATGGAAACGTCGCCTAACTTTGAGGTCACAGTAGTTACATTTTCATGCGACAAACGGAAAGTATATTAGATAATATGGAGCAAAAAGCAACAAGTTTCCATGAGTTGTGCTTGCCTCTACAAACTGTTGGTGGAAATTTTGCCCATTAAAGCACCAGGCGCGGGCTGGCCACCGAGAAGCGGTGTTGGCAAAATGTACCAAGGCGGACCCCCCATCCCGGCTGATTTTTCGTTGCCAGGCTTTAAGCGAGCCACTCATACCTTTCGACCCACCGAGCCTGCACACAAAAAACGTTACGATTCGTGTATATACTTCACATTGTGAGGCTTACTACGGGCACCTGGGGACCCTGATCCGAAATCGAGGGGGCTGGTGCCAAACAGACCCTTCTTCTCACCCTCAGGCTCGCCACTGCAACTACAGCAGCCGTTGCAACGCTGTTTAGCTGAAGCCTTCACAGAGCGACCAGGGACTCAAGGGAGCTGAATCGTCACCTGGATATAATTAATGAAATCCTCTAACTACAAAAAGCGCTGTTCCCATTGTGAAGTCCCTGCATTTTCTCAGTCAACTGTCCCAAACTAAGCACATGACTATCCCCGCTGCATTTTGTAGGTGGACAGGATTTATACCGTGACAGGAGAAACAGGCGCGTTGTACACTGTAGCAGTCATATCTGTTACACAATGAAATGATTCACGACGTTTTTTTCTCCATATTTAGTCTTTCATCCGTAGTGACGATTCCTTATGTAGGACCAACGCGCGTGAAAATTGAACAGATTTCTTGAATCGAAAGTAGCCTATTTGTCCTGTCGGTGCTTATCAGCGCAGGCGCCCGTGAAAACACAATACAGCAAAGAGGCTGTATATTTAATGAAACGAGCTATTTAATAGTGGGTCCGGTACCAGTAACGTGTTTTGACTGACGGGAGACAGTGTCTGAAGCAGTGAGAGGAACACTGATAAGCCTCATCAGTATGTCCGGTGCCGAGACACCGTTCCAGGCGGTAGGATTAATACCGCTCTTTAGGTAAGACAGAAGAAGGTTCTGTGTTTTTTTTTTTTATAAGGCGAGCTGTATATGACCAGGCTATTCCTTTACACTTGTTAGTAAATTTCGCACATCTAGGTTATTTACTGTGGGCGCGCATCACATTTGAGGTGTTATAAACAGTCTACACCTGGTTACGTCACAGCTGTAGATATCCCGCTTGGGTGACAGCGACTGTCTGGATTGTACTGGCATGTCCCACTCCACCAACTCTCTCTCTCTCTCCACACACACACATACACACACACACAGCGAGAGAGAGAGAGAGAGAGGGTATCTCTCCCTGCCGATCCACACAGCTGCGTTGGGAGTAGGCAGACCGGTCAACAGAAGCTGTAATAAACAAGCACGCACACATAAATGTTCTCGCACTTGAAATGCAAGACAGCTAATTTCGGAGTCACAGTTATCGCACTCTAACAGAAATCAGGAGATGGACGGACGTGTAGGAATAACAGCGACAGTCTCTGAGGAAATAAGTAGATTATTTCTTTTTTAAGCGAATTGAAAAGCAGTTTTCGCAGTGATGACAAAGAATAAATAATTTAAGTCTTCTTGAGAAGAGACGGAAGCTATGGCATTTCGGAAGGCACTACATTTGACTTGCTATTCAGACATCTTCGGAAATAAAAGAGGACTTCTGTGTGTGCGTTACTGCGATCGGGCGGTAAGGCACACAGTTTGACAGTCATAATATTCTCTCCACAGGACAAAGACAGTCATAGTCTGCACATCAAGCAATACAGATCAATGAGGAATGCGAGAGTGATTTGTGGTCCTATCCAGACGGAGTTAATGAAGCCCTCGGCGGTAGCATGCGTCTCCACGATCCCAGCGCGCAGTCCTTGAGGCTAGTCTTTCTGCTGATCTTTGTGATGGGGGTGGCACCCTCCCCGGTTTTCACCGCGGGCTGCCCGGACAGATGCGTGTGCGACGAACAGCTCGTGGTCCAGTGCTCCGGGCAACACCTGACTGAGTTTCCCCTCAGCCTACCGCTAGCCACCCGCCAGCTCATCATCTCCAACAATCTGATTAGGGAGCTTCCAGCACTGGAGCTCAACTACTTGTCCGACTTGGTGTACCTGGACTGCAGCAACAACTCCCTCAGCGAGATCGTAGAATCCACCTTTGGGAACCTCAAGAAGCTTGCATTCCTAGACCTGTCCTTTAACGCGCTGACGGTGGTAGACGACAGGACTTTCAGCGCGTTGGTCGGCCTGGTGATGCTGAGGTTGACGGACAACCCCGGTCTGTCGGAGGTTCACCCGGAAGCCTTCGCGGAGAACACGGGGCTGCAGGTGGTGGACATCAGCAGGAACAACCTGACCCTCCTGAACATCACCTCCTACATCACCATGCCTGCCCTTCGCGCCCTGGGCCTGAGCGGCAACCCGTGGCGCTGCGACTGCGATAACGAAGACCTCTGCCTTTGGATGCAACTCGAGCCATTCAGGTTTCAAGGTGAGAAAAAGGTCCCCTCCGCTCCAATCCCGACCCCTTCCGGCATCAGCCTCTCAAACTTTTCGGAATAGCAAGAATGACCTCCAAAATTACATTGCACTAAACGCGTTAAAATCCGCCCGCAAATCGTACGCATGTCACGCTCGGTAAACGTGTTTTTGTAGTGAAGTGCAGTGATTATTTTAAAAACATACTCTTTAAGGTGAGATTGTTTGTGTGTTCAAGAGGACTAGAGTCCGAACACCAGTGTTTAAAGGATCGTTGCCAAGAATAATTGCGAGTCAGTAAAAACTTGATCTCTCTTGTTCCTGCTGTGGTACAGAGGGGTCATACAGATCTGTATTTGCAGTGCCAAAGTGAACAGTTGTGCTTCAAATAAATGCCACATAAGTGTTCAAGGGAACTATTTTGTGTGCTTCGTTTCAGACTTATAGGGATCAGTACATCTGTGTTTATTATAAACGCGTCAGATTAGATAAGCCTATTTGTGTTACCTTATTTGCAACTGTGTACCATATAATTTAGGAATTGGTAGGACACCCCAACATAAACACGTAATTTTATCTATTATTAGTTGTCCAATCATTGTTAGCTGCAGGATCCCAATTATTATTATTATTATTATTATTATTATTATTATTATTATCGGTGGTGGTGGTAATGGTAGCAGTAGGCCTAAAAATAGTAGTAGTATTCTAGTGCTTTTTTTTCTCGAGAAAGATAAAACATTATTCATCCCAGGGTCAAATCTCTTGTATATTTGTTAGCCACAACTTTAGTAGGTAGCAGTGGAATCTGTGCTAGAAAAAGTGGCACGGTGCGCTGTGGTAAAATATAGAGAGATGCACGTGTTTGACGTGGTTTATGCAGCGCTAAGCGGAATCGTTTTAAACGTTCCAATACGGACGCGGCCAAAGTGATTTTCCGGAGCGCGGTTATAATAATAATAAATTTAATTTATAATGCACTTTACATTTTACAGAGAAATTCTCAAAGTGCATATCGGCACATGCATGAGGACCATTGAAAACAAATCATCCCAGGAAACGAGATAAATCCTTTATTGGTAAATGGTGGTAAATTCGGCTACTGAGTTATGACCTTATTTCAACGTTAAATCTTAAGACAGGGTTAACATAAAGAGCTCTGCTGTTACACGCTGGTGATTATCCTGCCGCACAAACAAATAAATCACTTTGGATAAATGTGTTTGCCAAGCAGCTAAATTATCCATCCATCCATACATACATCTTCCAACAGCTTATCCAGTTCAGGCTCACAGGGAGCAAATTAGCCTAACTGAGGTCAGAGTCAGCCCAGTAACGGGTTTATTTTTCTTTATTCCTTATCTGAACATGCTGCTATATTTTGTTACATCATAGTAGGGACTTCCTTAACAAATAATAATAATAATAGATTACATTTATATAGCGCCTTTCATAAACCCAAGGTCACTTTGTAAGGATGAGGAGAAAAAAAAGATAAACGTCTAAGCAGTTCAGCAAGAGAAGTGTTCATTAAACAGGAAGGTCTTTCAGTCAGATTTAAAAGCAGAGAATGTGGAGCAGTCAAGGAGAGAACGTTCTAGAGTTTGGGGCTCTGGCATGAAGGACCAACCACCGTGACACTGACGGGCGGCTTTGAGGAGCTCGGCCGAGCGCGGGAATGATGGTTAGAAGGGAGGGTGTGACATTGCCTGACATTCAGGGGTGACGGCGTTTGCCCACTGGCTGTCGAGCGCATAAGGAGGGGTTATGGGGGGGTCAGCTTGGTATGCGCAGATGGGCTGGAGTAGGACGGCCGGCGAGGCAGTCGCTGGATCAGGAAGAAGGGAGCCACTTCGCGGAATTAGAGCGTGTGAGTCACGCTGCTGTGGTCTACGTGAGTCAAAGCCTAGCAGGGGGGTGACTATTGTGTGCATTAACTGGGGGATCTTCCTCCCCAGCCCCATCTACCTACCCCCCCTCCCCCATCTGTTGACGTCAAGTAAACCTCACCAAGCTACTGGGATACACCTCCCTTGCTCACCCAGGTGTGGTCCAGGCGGGTTTGCACACGCCATCTCAGTTTCATTAGCCCTACCCCCCTGGGGTCTGCCTCCTGTGGGGGGGGTGGGGGGGTTAAAAACATAGCATGCTAGCAGGTTAGGGGCAGCACTGGAGGACGGGCCAATCCACTGCACACAGGAAATGACATTCCTCTGTAGGGAAGCGGGAGCACCATCGACCGTGTTAAACACCCCACACTGCCCTCCCCGACTCGACGGCACCGAAACTCAGATTCCTTTCAGTCAGGGAAGTAAGATCGTGGTTATGTAACGGGGAGTTTACACAGATGCTCTGGTTTGCACAGACCCACCTTCTGGAGAGCTCCCAGTAACACAAAGGTCTTTGTAATGGCTTCACACAGGGTGGTGTTTTGTTTTTTTGATGCGATGGTCCTGGGGGGGAGATGTACGCTCCCGCATTGCGCAGTTTCGTATCAGGGCTCCGGAGACCCCGGCTTCCTTTTGCGCGTTACATGCTGTGTACATGTGTGACTCGACATGTTTAATCTGCCCCGCCTCCCCACGCCGGGCAGGCAGGAAGTCATGTGCCCGGTGACAGCTGATGTAGAATCTGACAGCCCATATTGAGTTACGGGGAGCGTTACAGGTATTACGAGAAAATGTTTTGGCACGTTTGTTTCTCGGTTATTGTTTATTAATGACTTTTTCGGTCTGCTTGTTCGCCTGAAGCTAGAGGGTTACTGCTGTATAGCATTCATACTGTAGCTCTTCAGCATTGCATTTTCATCATACGAAAGACGGTCCTGGTCCCAAATTATGATGGCCCTTTCAGGTATATTTTGCTTCAGGAACCAGGTCAGGCCATGAAAGCTAAAGGTGGGCCAGAATTTTCAAAAATTCTAAAGTCTTCCTTCAAAAATTAAATAATGAAAAATAAGCCTGCGAGCGGCTGACATCTGCCCAGTTCTGGGTTGGTCAAGCTTATTGTTGGGCGTTCCAGGTCGGAAGGTCAGGATGTTCCGCAACCTTCTCATTACGTGATGCTCACAGCCGCTGTCACTTTTTCGGCAAACCTCCCAGGAAACGAGGACAGTGACACAGCTTTCGTTCCAGACACCCGAGCGCATGGGCCAGCGGCTGTGTGAGTGGAGTGACCCGCTGGGCGCAGTGCGGGGCAGGAGGGCTGCCAAGGCCGGGGGAGGGGGGCCTCGCACGCCGGTTCACCTTAAAAATTCATAGGACTGGAAACTCTGAGGGCGCCAGGGCCTAGCAAGCAGACGAAAAAGGATCAACACATTGTGCCGGTGATCAGGTTACCTGTTAGATAACCCCACCGCCACAGGCAACGTGCTCCCCGCTGTTTGTTTATCAGTTGCATGCTTCCCCCAGTGTGACACTTCCGGGGGCCGCTGTTGGAAGGGGTGCGGCCCGGAGCCGGCCAATGACCGTGCCTTCATGGGCCTGGGGGTTCATACCGAAGCAGACCCAGTCAGGCATTCGTTTATACGGCGCAATACACATGAGCAGCAAAACTGTTTAACATTAAGCTAATTATCCTTTATTTTTAATGACCAAGACTTCTCTCTGTTTTAATGTCACTTACCTTTGGATGGATGGATGGATGGATGGATGGGTGAATGGATGGACGGATGGACAGACGGATAGACAGACAGACAGACAGATAGATAGATAGATAGATAGATAGATAGATAGATGGATAGATAGATAGATGGATGGATAGATAGATAGATAATGCTTCACTATGTTCACTGTTGTGTTGCACCCAGGCAGATCCTGTATATTTGTGTTCACTTTCATTTCCTGGACCCAGGGGATGTGGGGTGGGGTGGGGTGGGGTGG